TGTCTCAGGTATTCTATTCCTATATCATTTGGAAAGTCACTTTACTTATGCCACAAAATGTTATTAAAAATTTAAAATTGAGCAGATGCCGCTTTTTGAAGTGAATTCGGACACCTGGCGGCTTATTCTACTAAATAAATTTTGTTTAAATCGAATCGAAAACGGACCGAAGCCGAACCAAGCTACAGTTTTTAATGGTTTTCTATTCTACTTAGTGACATACGATGCAATTCCAGCTAAAATAGAACTGGAGAATTTATTTAGCAGAATTGGCCTCCTGATTGTATTTGAATTCGGGTTTGGGTTTTTACAGAATCGCGGGGCTGGTATTTAACACTCGTATCTATAGTTGAGAGAATAAATATCTGCTTAAGTTATGATATATTCTCAAGTATTTACTTTTCTCGACTACAGATAAGAGTGTAGGAGTTTTCAGCTCCGCCTGAGCAGCAATACAAACTCTACAGAACATATTTTCCATGCGATTTTCCTCCACACCACTCCTTTTGGATTTTCCTAGGTAGAAAGATCGAAAATAACAAAACAAATATATTTTATCAACTTTGCATTCACAATGCTGTACTGGTAAATATTATTTATGAAAATCTGGGGATAGTAGATATTTTAATATGAATATTTAAAAATAAACTTTTCTTCGATTAATATGCTATATTAATCGAATATATCGAATGTACACAATGTAAAGCGTAATATTATTATATGCAAGGACTTCATGGGTGAAGTAGTTAAGTATACCTACTGAACAACTTTTACTGTGTGTGCAACACAGAATTCACGAAAAAATAATCAGCTGTTTCATACTGTCTACGATTGTAGCTAATAATTTTTTAGTGAATTCAGTGTTGCTCTCACAGTAAAAGTTTGGTATACTTAACTAATCCACTCCACGACGTCCTGGAATATATACATATAATAATAATATTACACCTTATATGGTTGTATAAGAGAATGGTCTAAATTAAATACTCTAAACTACAAACAAAGTCGTCACTGGATTCTTATAATACTTATACTTCAAGGGCAATTCTACAGATAGTCTAAACGACAATAATATAGTGATATAATGATAAATAGAAGAAAAATAATACGTATAATGCCTAGCTGCATGCGGCTGATATACTTACAGCGCAATTATATTAGTACCATTGTTCCAGCGGCCATTTGTATGCATGGTTTGTGCATGATATTAATAATATATTCTCGTTTTGGTCGTTTGTTTGTTTACACTGAAATGGCTTCGAAACTACTGAACCGATTTCAAAAATTCTTTCACGTACGTGAAGCCACATCATACGCGAGTAATTTATGCGGACAAAGCGGCGGGAAAACAGTTGCCTGTAGATAAAATTAAAGATAAAATAGTCAGAAAACGATATACAATATTTAAAGAAATATAATAGCAAATAATAAAAAGTGTCAAAAATCATAAATTTAATTATAAAAAAACAATTAGTTAGATACCTTTCTTAAAATATCTTTATTAATTTTTTTTTCAAAGCTGTTGTCCATAATAGCCATTAAAATTAAATTAAATTTAAAAGCTAAATATAAAATTATTAATAAAAACACAGATTTGTCTACACGCTTCTCATGAGAACTCCTCATTCATTCCACACTCCTCTTCTTTTAATAACAATTAGCAGCAATTATGAATCAGATCTATAAATATATGACAATGACCACTACTCGAGTGTAACTCGAATACAAGCTTTCATAATTCATAAGGTTGATAGATTTTACTTCCGTGATAATATCCACTCCATTTTTCCTTGTGCACGGTCGCGATAAGGTGCTTCGATGAATTCCTATAGCATAACCATGAGCTCAATTACGAGGATAGAAAATCTTATAGAATGAAGTCAGTTAAACATAGTTGACATTCCGTCAGTATAGCATTGTGAATGCATTATACAAATATTGCAGGTTATCTGTGCTCACGCCATATACCTTGCGGGCATCAAATAGGTATAATCAAATAAGAAAAAAAATATATTCATAAATTACGTTATTCCAAATTTGGTTAGTATTATATTTAAAGGTAATGTAAGTATTAACATTATACTAAGATTTTGTTGCAAACATGTCATTTAGTTAGGTCTGCAGATACATTATTCTGATTACAGTTCTAACCTAATGTTACAGGGTTAGTTGTAACAACTTACAATAATATTAACAAACATGTTAAAGTACTGGTTAAAGTAAACAATAATGAGTTATCATTTGGCAATGGTTAGATAACGTCAATTCTATTCAATTTTATTGCGTTCATGTGGTTTTACATAGCTGATCAATTTAAATTTATGTTTCTATACATAAACCCTGGTAGGGCGCAGAAAGTTACGTAGTAATATTAGATATAAAATTAAAATATATTTAAATTAACAGAATATTTCAAAGATACAAAATTAACATATAAAATGTAAAATATTAAGTAGAAATTATAGACTTTGTTTCCTCGATAAACTTTTGCATTTTGTAGTATACTTTATTTAACAAATACTGTTTTAGTATCTTCTTAATTTTTTCGTGTTTGGTTTGCTCTTTATAAAGACAGGCAGGTTATTATATATTTTTACTAGCTTTCCGTCAGAGCCTTTCCCGCGTGGTCTTGTATTATACATAAAAACCTCCCTTTTGAATCACCCTATCTATGAAAAAAAACCGCATTAGAATACGTTGCGTAGTTTTAAAGATTTAAGCATACACAGGGATAGATAAAGCGACTTTGTTTTATACTATGTAGTGATTGCACTAATGTAAGGGCCAGAACTGTGAACTGCGAGATAGGAATTTGGTAGCACTAAATCGATTTTGGATCTTAAATTTAATCAAAAAAAAAAAATTAAAAAAAAAATACTACAGCTCTACTGTAGTATTTTTTTTTTTACTGAGAAAATAGATTTGGGTTGTTTTTTGTTTTGCAGTTTTCAAAAATGTATAGAGATCTGACAATTACAATGTTTAGTTCTGCGAAATATGACCTATAGCATCGACATTATTCAATATTCAGATGTAGCTAGCACTTTATTTATTTATTTATTTCTGAGCAAGCTTTCTGGAGGAATGGACTGTTTGACATGACCTTTCATTGATCTCTCTTGTGATATAAGACCATTTTTATAGGTGATTGTTGCTTTCTATCTCTACGTTCTGAACACGAACCTCGAAATAAAAAGAAAATCATTTATGAGCGACTCACCTTACACCTATACCATTCAGTTTGTCTAATAGAGTTTTGTATGAAACTCTATCATACGCCTTACTTAAAACGAGTAAGAGTCCTATTACGTATTTTCTATTGTTTAAGATAGTGAGTATTTCCTGTACTTAAACACGGTTATTGTAGACAATTTATTCTTACAAAACCGTTCCGATTGTCATCGAGTATATTGAAATTCGTGTAAAAAGAGGTACGACGTTGCAACATGACCTATTCAAAAAGTTTTGCAAAAGTAATTTAAACCGCTATTGGTCTATAATTGGTTTTATCACTAGTATCTTCTTATTTATGTATTGGTCCTATTAAGGATATTTTAAGGTTATCTGGGAATAGTCCTTCAGCAATGGATCGGTTGATCATAGTAGTGAGTGATTCAACTAATTCATCTGCACATCGCTTTACCAAGGCAGGAGGGATTTCGTCCACACCAAAGTTTTTCTTATTTTTTAGGTTCAATACAATTTTATGGCTTTGCTTAGATTCAAAAGGATAAATATACATCGATTACTGGATTTATAACTGGGCGACCTACGGACTTCAATGAGTTCGTAGTATGATGATACTGATAGTTTGATTCCACATTTCTACAAAGTATTCATTAAAAGTATCAGCTACTTACTACAGTATAGGTGATACCTTTAATGAATATACAGTATAGGGTCCTCTACAGTAGTCCCGTTAACGTTCAGTTTTATTTTATTTTTGTTTGTCAATTTGTTAGTTCTTTAAGTTAGTTAGTTCCTTCTTTCCTCTTAAATATATGCCACACAGTTTCTATTTTACTAGTCGAGTGTTTCATACGTCTAACTTAAGTTTCGTTGGTTAAAGTTATTGTTTTATTATGGAAAGAAAGAGGATGGTTGACATAAATTTAAACTTTAACCGCAATTATAATGCAACCGAGACAATTTGTTTAGTACCATTATTATTCCAAGTTTCCGAGGTTTGTTCCAGAAATTCAAGGAAAACGAATTTGAATTTTCTCCCATTCTCTCTATATGAAAGTTAGGAAAGCGTGTTGCACCAGTGGCAACAATCATAGTGAAAAGTAAAATACTACGACGATTGAAAATAATATTCTAGCTAATATTCCGGAGCGACCGTCTAACTTTCTAGCTATAGCAACGTGTTATTGTTTTTATCAATGAATTTGAAAATATTCTTTAATAAATTTATGTTTTTTATTAATTACATAATCAATGAGACACATTGATTCGATCCAGTTTTCGAAATATTGTCTTTGTGGAATTTTTTTAATCATATTTTAATGTAATAAAACTTATGTAATTCTGAATACAACAAAATCATTTACACAAAATTCAATGATAAAAATCAATTAATAAACAAAGAAAATAAAGTGTTAGTGCGCGAAAGATATATCGTCGAAAGATGTTAAATTTAATGGCATGTTTCTTACCAAAGGTTGATATGCAAATACTTATTGATACCAGTAAAATATCCTTGAAATAACTTCAATGGCGCTCTGCTCATATCTGTCAATAATGATTCGTATCTTGACAGGTAATGATCCACGCGGTGTCAATAATAATATTATGTTTTGTATTATCAGACACTTGAAAATTGCTACAATAAACTGCGTAATCCGGGTTACATTGAAGGTATTTAGGGTTCCGTAAACGGTAAAAAACAGGATCCTATTACTAAGACTCCGATGTCAGTTCGTCCGACTGTCCGTCTGTCACCAGCTGTAATGCTGTAATGTATTTAGGGTTCCGTAAACGGTAAAAAACAGGATCCTATTACTAAGACTCTAATGTCAGTTCGTCCGACTGTCCGTCTGTCACCAGCTGTAATGCTGCGCTCATGCTGTTTAAGGCTGATTTTATAATGGAATATAATAATATACAGCAATGGATGTACTCTGTTTTATCGTCCGTGCTGCATTAAATTATGTATAAAGTGGTACAAAGAACCGCAAAGTTGACCTATCGAAAATTTATTGTAAGATACCACTTATGTCAGTAGTTCTCCTATTATCGCAGCAGGTTTTTTATGTCATCCTATTGTATCGCAACCAATATAATATGAATGAATGAATGAATGAATCATTTAATCTGGTACAAACAAAATGAATGAATGAATGAATGATTAGACAAATAAGATACAATTTATCATTTTATAATTTTTTCAAGATACTAATTACAATAAAATAATTAAAATTAAATAATAATAAAAAATAACATATTGCGTCTCAGGACTACACCAAAAATGATTATAATTTTTTCAGTGTTTCGTAACGGCGGGAGTTTGCCTAAATTTGGGTGGTCATGGCTTGGTGATGGGGTTCTCAGCCATTCTGCTGCCTCAACTACGACTGCCTGATTCACTCATACCCATTGATGATTCTTCTGGGTCGTGGATAGGTGAGCATTTAATATTTCATTTTGATATAAAAAAATACTACCTGTTTTCTCGCGACTTCGCCCGGTTGTACAGTCTACCTATAAAGTCATGAAAAGACTGTTTGAGGAACAAACATTAGACATCAAAGTATATCGACTGTCAACGACATGATTTTTTATTTGTTTTGGTTAAACTGTAACATAGATCAGGTCATCCTAAGAAAGAAATGGATAACTTCAACATTTGTGCACTTCGACAAAAGATTCAGTTCTTTTACTTTGTGAAAAAAAGGATTAAGAAAACTTCAAGACTTACTGAAGAAGCCTTCAACATTCATTTCATTTTGAAAAACTGTTGCAGTCATGTTCAAAATCTTGAAAAATAATATTATGAACGAGGAATAACCCTTTATCAAGATATAGATGACTTAGTCATTCACCTAGGCGAAGATAGCAGCACCACAAATAATAATAATTTATTGAGCAATTTAGTTTACAAACAATTTACCTTCTTCTACTTCTTCTTCTTTTTCAATCAATGGCTTATCTGCGCATTTCGCACAATTCTGCCAATTTCAAGTCGAAAATTAATTTTTACATGTGAAATGAATAAAAGATGGTGATGATACCGACACTCAACAATTTACCTTTTATTCACTCATCTTATTTGAACGACAGTTATCATTTATTTGCCATAGAGATATAGACAGTTTCATAGAGAAATTGGTAAAATGATCAACGATTACATTTAATAATATTCATTCAGGGTTGAAGATTACAGGTTGTAATCTATTACGATTATTTATTTATTACACATAAATTCTTATATTTATCGTAAATTACGATTACTATATTGTAATCTTAAATGTAGAATAAACTTGTATGTCAATAAATTATACGTCTTTACCTTTTCTGTGCAAATTAAAAGAGTCCACAAGTAAAAAAAATATATCCGGTTTATTTTAGTATAAATAAAGAATATCCTAATATCAAACTCATATGTCTCACTATACAGGGTTGCTATGTGCACGCCCTCATTTTTTTTCGTGACTTAATAGACAGACTGTACATAGTTTTCCGAAGGTAAAATAATTTTCTTGACCGGACTAGTATTTCCGAAGATTACCCCCTAGAAGCAAATAAACAAAGTTAGAATGTTTACCTCTTTATAAATAATAAGGATAGACTTGTAAAACTCACGTCATGGCAGCCAATTCAAACACACAAACAAAAAACTAAAACTATCCTTAACAGTATTTAGAATAGTCTAAAAAAACAAAACTTTAAGATCGTTATGTAATTCTTCAATTAACCAATAATAAAACTTATATGTGTAAGCAAATTGTGGATTGAAATTGCAATTTACGCAATTCAAAGAATTCTTTTTCACTTTCAATTCTCACAAAAAAAATTAAATTGAAGAATTGGTTGTTGACATTTTTAAAAAGACCTTATGTTTGAACTATTTATAATTTTTCACAGCCTCCATTCTGGGCTTCGCTCTAGTTGCTGGCAACTTCATAGCACCTACTATCATGGCAAATTATGGTAGAAGAACTGCTAATCTAGCCAGTATCACACCTATGATCGTCGGATGGGTGTGCGTCCTCACCGCTAACAATATCGCCACACTTCTCGTGGCCAGGTTTCTTCAAGGAGTCTCTATGGGAATGAGTGCTACTTTAGGCCCTGTACTTATCGGAGAATATACCAGCCCCAAAAACAGAGGTGCCTTCTTAACTGTGATATCCCTGACGATTGCTACAGGAGTCCTCATAGTGCATACTCTAGGATCATACTTGAGTTGGCAGTGGACAGCGATGGTTTGTTGTTTCATAGCGTTCATAGACTTGATAATTGTGATATATTCTCCAGAATCACCCAGTTGGTTAGCGGATCAAGGAAGGTATGATAAAAGTAAGGAGGTCTTTCGCTGGTTACGAGGAGATGGCGAAGAAGCCGAACTTAAGGAAATGATTGAAGCGAGCTCTATAGTGAACGAGTCTAAAATAGAAGCTAACGTGTCACAGTCCATTGCGAAAAAGTGTAAGGCCAACGTCACTTACTTCCTTTCTACTATCAAAAAGAGAGAATTTTATAAGCCTATTTTTATAATGGTCCACATTTACACATTGGGGCAATGGGCAGGAGCTAATATATTAGCCTCGTACACGAGAGATGTCTTTGAGAATGTTATTGGTACTGAAGCTAATATTGCTCTCATGATTATTACTTTAGACACTCAAAGAATTATATCTAACACAGTAGCAGTATATGTGATAAAGAAAGTTAAGAGAAGAACTATGTTGTTTGCGACTGTTGGAATTAATATATTCGCCTTCCTATCGACTGCAGCCTATGTGTATTGTAAAACTCATAGCATATTGCCATTCGATCACCCTTTTATAGGAATACTGTTGATCCACATCCACATGTTCTCTATAGCAACAGGAACGGTGCCTCTGCCTTTCATCATAGCTGGGGAACTCTTCCCCTTGGAATATCGGAGTCTAGCTGGAGGTATCAGTGTGCTGTTCCTGTCTACAAATCTATTTATCACTGTTAAAACCTTACCTCTGCTTTTAAGCACTACAGGCCTTCCTGGAGCATATTTATTATACGCGATAGTAGTCGGTTACTGCTTGATCGTAGCCGGGATATTCCTCCCGGAAACTAAAGACAGGACGCTCCAAGATATCGAAGATGAATTCAGGGGTAGACCGTTATCGCCTGAAGAATTGAAGTCGGTGCAGTCACTTACGTCTTTGAAACTTTACAATACAGACAGAAGATGCAGCGCTCCTGTTATTTGATTACAGGTCTGTCTCTAGGGTAAATATGCATATGACATTGAAACTTGAAACTTTTTCCTAATCTTTATTTTCAAGAAAGTAAATCAGTAAATGAATATGTTATAAATATGTGAATCAAACATAAATTGTGATATTAGATAAATTATGTATATTTAGGCCAATATTATTATGTCAATAGCCTCGTAAAATCAAATTTAGTAGACTCCTGACAGCTTACTCTGTTTCTGTCTAAGAATTTCCAGAAATTTTCAAACCGTATAATTTTGTTAAAATCATATACATGAAGATTATCTGTGCATAAGAGTGAGGTGTCAGGACCTACCTCCGTCGTCCAAATCAAAATACAGGGCTTAGACTATAAATATGATATTTTAAAAAACCTTAAACTGATCAGTACCTACTGCCATTCATAATGTATAGTTGATAAGTAAGTCTTTTACAAAATATTAAGTCCTAGGCCTGAGGAAAACAGTAAGGTTGAATTAAAATTAGTTAGCTAATGAATCAGTCAGTGTATATATTGAAAATAATTTATTTTAAAATATAGCAAATTTTAAGGACATGGATAAATTATAAAAGATAGTTTTATGTAATATTATAATACGTATTTTATTTATGTATGTATATATATATAAAAAAAAACAAATGTCTTATGTCAATTTTAAGCATTTTTTACGAGATATTTCTCAATATAGCAATGTATAACAACAACAAAAAACGTATTATGTTTGTGGTACTTATGAGAAGCGACAGCTTACATCAGTATTGAATAAAGTAGCTAAAGTCTATATTAATTCACTGTAAACGAATTATATCGATTATGAGATCCGAGTTTTTTTTATTACTTTTTATTAATACCAATAAAAGAGCCACAGGATAGCACAAAAACAAATGTAAATGGGCCATACGATGATGAACCTGAACAACCAAAGAAAAACCCTTTTTTAAACTATAGAGATCCTATTTCAATATTTTTTAAAAAAGAGTTTACTTTGAAATTACGTATGGTACAACGGTAGAAAGTGAACTCATAGTCAGTATTTTGTTACGCATAATTAATTTATAATTTTAATACTGATGTGGTAACGTCATGGATTTTGTAAATGTCGTTAATTTTGTGGGTCTTTCGCTCTTTCTTCTTATCTCGAGAACGCTTTGTCTAAACACAAATGTCACTTTTCTCGGGTATGCCCATGCGTTATCTATCACACTCTCGACCAGCGAAAGATTTTGTGTATTGGTTCTCGAGTTTGTCATGCTACCGTGTCTAAACATGGTAGGTAAAATATTTGATGATTCATAACTTTATTTGTATAAAGAATATGTTTATTCGAATAAAGGTTCCTCAGTCCACCAACAGAACCATTGCTCGCTTTGCACGATATCTTAACATCGTGACCATTTTACAAACTATTCTACTAGAAGAAAATTGGTAATGAAAACCTCTGACTTAGTTAACGGACTAATAAGATTTTGCAACAATTAACTAGTTGTTAACTAATGAAATTAGCTACACATCCAACTCGCTTAATTGACGTAACCATACTGCTTCGTAAAGATATGGAAAAACATCAAAGGCAGTTCTAATTTTGAAATGTAGCCGTACAGACATTTTTGTCTCAAAATAATTATTTATATCCATGAGTTATAAATATATGACAACAATAATTTCAAGATGTTTTATTGTGGGTTAATTAGTAATGCAATAATTAGTGATTAAACGATAAACATAACTCTTGCAAGATCAATAATCTTGGATCAATATAACACCGTTTATGAAACAGGTAGGTTTTTAAAACATTACTAGGAGACTAGCGATAATATCCAAATGATTTTAAAAAGGATAATTAAAACGAAAAACCTTAAAAGCTGTCCTCGTGTGTTCCTTTATAGCACAGTAAATACAATATTTTGTTTATTGTTTTATAATATAATTACTGAATTAGATTAAATAAATTGTTATATAATAGATTAAACGCACCTTAATCTAAGAAATAATGTTTAATTAATTTCATTTTCTCATAAAAATACTGCATCGCAGTTGCTCGGATTGTGAAAGGTCATGGGTTCGAAACCCATCTCAGAGTATTAGAGACAATGTGGATTTTTTATGTTTTTTTCATTAAAAATATTTTCCAGTAAAGTGCTTTCCGTTGTGTGCGAAATTGATCAAATATAATATAATAAGAAAAATTTTATGAAAATTATGTATGAAATCAAGCTAGCACATCTTTACTTTGAATGCGATACAAATATGCAAACAAATTTGCATTTGCTACACCTTTACATTAAGTGGAGGTACAAGAGCGCCTTAATCTCCATCACAAACGGAACGCATTGCTTCCAAATCGTTAAGCTAATAAGTTCGACAACTTACCCACAACACAACACCTTATCGTAACGTTTCTACATGATATTGATGATGATATCTGATATTGCCCAGTGCTTCGTGACCACGGGTGTGGGTGGCAGTTAACATTAATGGTTCGGCGTGCGTGATGGCATTCGCCACAGGAATACTGCAACAGTTAAAGAATAACTCTTCAAGAATTCCCATTGATGAATCCATTGGGTCTTGGATTGCTAAGCAATAATGAATGGACCTCAATTCTGATAATGTTTTTTCGACTCACTCTTTGGCATATTTTTCCTTTCAAAACAAATAAAACACGAAAAGGGCCAATAACCATAAACCACAGAAAAAGGCGCAGAGCGTCGAAATAAATTACATTACTATTTTGCAAAGGGCTAGAGAAAGATGTTTTTGGTGACATCTCGTGGCAAAAAAAAATACATATCTAATTATCAAAAATAAGGTAAAATCTAGTCGGATCCTAGACTAAATCAATGAGTGGTATATATCTATAATTTCACGGATCCGACGCCAAGAAAACTTTTCTCCAAAAGGCACCCTAGAAGCGTTTTCTCATTCAGATTATCATTATGTACAAACTTTAATTATTTGATAATTTATGCCCAGCTGCTACACCTATTACTAGGCAACTTAATAACTCCTACACTGATGACAATCTCCGGAAGGTAAGTTGTCAACACCATCAACATTACAAGTCTGATCATTGGCTAGCTTCTCCTCAGCGTGCCTCAGAGTCTCCTGGTTATCTTTGGTGGGCGTGCTCTTCAAGGCATTTCCATGGGGATGGCTTTAAATTTCGGTCCTATCCTTATAGGTGAATGAATACACTAGTCCAAAATTCCGAGAGACGTTTTTAATGTTTATTTCATTGTTATCAGCCCTCTGGGTAATACAAATACATATAATAGTTGCATATTTTAGTTTCAATTTCAATGCTTTGATTTGTTTTATAATTATAACTTAAACTACCAAATAGTTTTAGTTATAATTTTATATTCTTCGGAATCTCTGACTTGGTTAGCATATAATGGTAAATACGATGACTGCAAAAAAATCTTTAATATGAGGGGACAATGAAAAGCAAGAATTGAGAGTGATTTAGGAAGCAGGTATAGTTAAATGTTGATTAAAATTGAAAAGAACCTGTGTTACATTCAAGATAATATGAGGAACAAAGACTTTTATATGCGTTAGATGGATAAAGGTTATTGTCTACAGTACTAGCATTTTTTTTATGCTCAAATTTAAAAGGAGGATAATTTTAATTTCAATTACGAGTAACTATAACTGGTAACACTTACGCTTGTAAATGTTTAAATATTGTATTATTGTGACGTATATTCACATTTATTTTACTATATCACAAGTTTTACTATATCTTTACCAAATAATATAGCTAGAGATATATCCTCATTAAAACTGAAAGGTGTAGAAAATGGAATAAATATTATAAGTTTTTCATTAAAGTGTTGTCGTAAAATGTACGTCTTATTTTTTTCGTTCGCTTGGTATACATGGCGCCTACGCTTTATACGCTAGCGTGGTAGCATATTTTTTGTTTATAATAGCAATAATCACTTTGCCAGAAACTTAAGATAGAACATTGCAAAACATAGAAAATGAATTTGCTGGCAAAAAAGTTGTAGGTGCTGATACGAAAACTACAGATCCGCTTAAACGTGATGTTATTAGATAGTTGACGACCTCCGTGAGCGAGTGATTCAAACTCTGGTTTGACGGTATCTTCATCTCTGGAGACGTGGGTTCGATTCCGGTTGGGTCAATGTACCAAAAGAAACTTTTATATATTGTTCAGGTTTGGGTATTGTAGTATCTGCGTTTTCGCAAATACTTATTCAATATTGATAATGAATGTTTCTAATATTTATTTATTTAGAATTGTTTTTTTAATAGGACTGGTTGGTGTAGTAAATTTTTACATCTCTCATATTCGATAAGTAGGTCCTTATTACCCCCAAATGAGGCATGTAGGTGACGAATAAGCGTTTTAGAGTAATATTGCTAGAAAAGCTCTAGTACAAAAAAAGTTCTTTACTTGGTTCTTTATAATGAAAACAAGCGAGAATAGAAAACTGTTACTTTAAATATTGTTTGTTTTTAGGATTTTTTTTATAATCACGTGCTTATTAGGAAAACACATGAGTTCTTCAAGTGATGAAGATATAAACTGCACTCCCGATTCAATGAAAATGGAATTAACAATATTTTCCTGAAACTTCTAAAGAGAGATATTCTAACTAATAAAATGTTTTATTTTTGTACTGCCGGTTTTTTCTACTTACCTCACAATCGAGATGTAAAGCAGAGTAGTTAACTCGGGTGTAAGCATCAATTGCACCCTCGAATTATAGGCGAAATATCTCGGGTTGCAATTGATGCCTTACAGCCCTTGGGTACTAATCTACTGTTAAAAGACTTCAAAAAGGAGGACGTTCTCAATTCGACTATATGTTTTCTTTTTTTTGTGTTTGTTTGTTACATGATTACTAGGCCCATTATGAATAGATTTTCAATCAATTCAATCGATTTTTTTTATTCGACTATTTTATGGGCCGATTGAATCAATAGTTTTCTTTATATAACAAAACAAAATATGCTTTTCCGCAGATATCACCTGAATATTTTGTTGACATGTTTATTTCAGCGAAAAAACAAAAGATTTTCTATGTTTATCAAGTGTTGTGAATAATATCCTTTTTGTACATAGATGACATATACTTTTTAATTCTTTATATAAAAATATTATTTTTAGATTTTGTGTAGTGAGCAGTGTTTATATGTTTATAGTCCAAGCTTACATGCTTTACTCTTTGGTATTCACTTCAGCTTTGCTCAGTTTTTATTTTTACAATAAAAGAAAAAATAATACTTATCTTTAAAGCGGTAAAATTTTTCAAGAAACATTGAAGCCCGACTTCAAAGTTGCTTGAAAAATTTAATCGCTTCAAGATAAGTATTATTTTTCACTTTTTTTTAAATTTAAAGTCGGTTCTATTTTTTTAAACTATTTTTATTAGGTTTGTAATTGTTACGCAACTCTTGTGTTTTGTATTGCCCTACACTTTATTGATACATAACATGTATTGTGTGCTGTGTCTGAATGAGAATAAATTTAAATTTGAAATTAGGACTTGAATTAACGATCTGTATGATTAAGTAACCAGGTTAACAGTAGTTGCCACCTATGAGATCCCGGTGTGATGCCCGGTCGGGTTAATATAGAAAATTATTCTTCTAATGTGTTTCTTCGGTTCTGGATATCGTGATATCCCCATAGATTTACATATCCATAATTTATACCTACATAAATGATAAAAACTAGCTATTTTCCCGCGTCTTCGCTTGCATTAACTTATCACCTGCATATCGTACGCTGAGAACGATAGTGACACAATGCAAAAAATGCGAGTTTTAGTAATGAGCGTTTCAGGTTCAAGAAATTGTAATCAGCCCCTCTTAACAACGTATCGTCTCTACGCCATCTAGCAGTTTCTATGCAAGCTACGTTCACAGGGATCGTTGCATTTTAAAGTTTATACTTAACAAAGAAAAATGATGCCAAAAGTAGAAAATATGTCGTTTTTGGTTAGTGATATTGTCATTCTCAACGTGTGATGAAGAAAGAATTTTTTAAAAGTTGTTTCAAGGTCTACTCAATGCAAACAATATATTATTTTTTCTTTTTATTATTAGTATAGATAAATTAGTGTTCTTTATGCAAATTTTTTATTTTAAATAAATGTATTGTAAACCCGAAGAT